TTTGGAGGGGGGAAGGTAATTAGGTTTGTTTGTTTGTTTGTTTATTTATTTATTTATTTATTTATTTATTTTAATGGAAGTACTGAGTATTTGAACTCAGGATCCTGTGCATGCTAAGTACGTGTTCTACCACTGAGCTACACCCTCCCCTCCATTTGTTTTTATCATGAATGACAAAAATTATATCTATTAAAGTTTTTAAAATTGTCTTGACTTAATTATTTTTCCATTTATAGAAATCAAAATTGTTCTGAGGATTTTTCTTTTCGTCTTTAATTTAGCATGAACTGAAACCTAACCCTTGCTGGATAGGGCTTTACAGTTTGTTTCTCCTCTATTCTGGAAACCCAGGAGAGCAGATAGACAATGACCTCAAAAAGTTTTGTCACAGGTCAAAAGAAAAAAAATGCAGAAACAGAGAACGTTAGCAACTATCCAAATGTGGATCACTCCATTTCTGTTGTTTTGTATGCAAATAGTTCCATACGGTTGATACTAGAGCAAGTAAAAGCTATAGCTGAGACCCCACCAATTGCTTAGTATTTGTAAGGGAAAAAATATTAACCATACAGTAAAGAAACAGGATAATATCTTTAGTAGATGATCAGAATTAACATCACCAATGAGAGGCAGATGGGTATCATGTGCCTTCAGATGTGATATGCTGAAGACACAAAATCACTTAAGTAGTTTTCCATCTGGGAATGTAAAACCTGCATCTAATCATAAGGAAACATGAAACAAATACAAAATAAGGGACAATCTATTAAAAAAGGGTGGGAGGTAGGGTGGTTGTGAATTATACTCTTCAAAAATGTCAATGTCCTAAGAGACAAAGGCTGTAGAAATGTCCCCGATTAAAGGAGACTAAGGAGACAGGGGAAATGAATGCAATACCTGATCCAATAATGGAGATGGTACTCGAGAAAAAAAAATGCCATAAAGAATTTTACTGGATCAACTAATAAAACTAGAATAGAGATAACAGATTAGGTAAGATTGTTCTATCAATAATAATAAATAAATAACTGTACTGTAGTTATTTAAGGACATATACACTTAAGTATTTAGGGGTAAAGGGCTATAATGGACACTACTTAAATTGAAACAGTTGACAAAAGATATTGTCTAAGAGAAAAAGATAAAATGACAAAGCAAATGGGGTAAAATGTCAATAAAAGGTGAGTCTAGGTCAAGAGTATATGGATGTTCTTTGTATTTTTCTTATTTTTGCAACTTTTCTGAAAGCTTGATAATATTTTTAAGTTTAAAATACTAATGAAAAATTTATAGATAAAAAGGATGTAGTACAGAGGCCTCTGAAGTTAAAATTTAAGAAAGAGAGGCAAAGGACGAATGTGAGAATTAGGAAAAGATACCTATATGATAACAAACTTAGAATGGAATGAAGTGAAATGATGTAAAATAAAGAGAAATTAAATCCTAAAATTAAATTTAAGACTTATAAAACAATGTTTGAAAAATCAAAGTACTTTACCTTAATTTGGCCGAACGTAGTATTCTGGTAAGTGAAACACAATTTCCTTCCATGATACCCTTTCCAACTGTGGGAATAATGCTTTTGCGACACGCAACGTATAATGAACATGCCAACCAGTGTATAACTTCTCCCTGGCAGACAAAAGACAAACAACAAAATAGATATATTATGTTAAAATGCTTGAATTCTAGAACGAAAAGAGATCTCAGAATTATCTGGTCTAATTATCATTCTGTATTAACAGGCCAGAGAGGTGAAGACATTTGCCCAAGGTAACAAAGCTTGGTTAGTTGCAGTAATGGGTATAAAACTACTCTCAGTCCTGGGTAAGATGCTAAATCAGTATGAATCTAAAGACAGATCTCTCACTACACCCCAAATCTAATATTATCAAAAGAGTTCTCTCAAAATTTCTCAGCATTAGCTTTCTCAGTTTTATACCACCAGTCACAGCCTTGATGGTGCTGAAGTTCCTTTCTATCAGTTTAGTTTTGTTTCTTTTTTAACTAGTCTGGCAGAGAAAGGAAAGAACAGAGTAGAAAGGTATCACACATAAATAAATTAATACCTATCTTGCACAACATAAAGGAGACTATCATTTCTGTGAGGTAAAAATTTGGGGAATTATTTACCCCAAAATTTAAAATAGTAAGTATGGCTCTTAGCAGATATTTCAATTTACAATGCTACAAAAAAGTGACACTTGGGAATTCAACATCTAATTCTCTGCTTTAGACTTGAGATATCTCCAAGCTAGACTTACTTTATGACTTCATTACTGAGCTTTACCTGAAATTTAAGGATTAAGAACTAGACACAAATCTCATTACACAATATAATACTGTTCCTATTCATTGTTCTGCAGGTCCTTTTTAAGATCAGACTCTAGAAGAATAAGATGACTGATAAAAAAATTTCTTGCAGGAATCCAAAAGGGGTGGGTAGAAATGGGTAGCCACCAATAAAACTGAGACCCAGTGGTCCTACCCTAAAATTCTTATTTGCTCAAGGCATTAAGTGAGGCAGATAAGCTTAAGGTTGAGTATTTTTAGAAGTCTTGATTAACAAATTGTTTGGATATAGCATCCAACTATTGCAGAGCTTTTGGATACAGGTTACTAGATGAAAACACCATTAAGATAGGGAAGAACCAAAAGTACTGCTTTAATTTTTTTTCCTTAAAAAAAAAAAGCACATATAGTATTTAATCTAGTTCCTTAATTCTAGGTCTTAGAAATACAAAGATGGTTCTGATCTCATGGAACTCCAAGTCTAGAGCTAAGAGGAACAGATTCTATTATCTATAATTGATGATATATATGCTATAAGAAGAATTAAAGATTAAGTGTTAAGGGAGAATATAGTGTAGTGAGTAATTGATTTTGATGGGCAGTCAGGGAAGGATTCACAGAGGGAGACAAAACTGGTAAGTGGTAAATCACCAAAATATATGGGGGAAAAGGGGTGGGTACGGGGAAAATATAGGCAGGAGCTTGTCAGGTAGTCGAGAGAGGGTAGAGGCCAGCCAGGGAGAGAGATTCTTAGGAAGCAGTAGATATATGAAAATCTTTTCACCAAAAACAAAACAAAAAGAGGAAAATAAAGCATTGTAGATAGAATAAACACGAACACTCTTAACTTTCACAACTGTGCTAAGTCAAATATGTAAGATATCCTGATCAATTCTACCTAACTGGAGATTTAGCTCAATTTTCCTTGGAGTAGGGAGTGAGGGAAAAGCTTCCAGGCAGAGGGAATGGCATGGAGAAAGCACACAAGTAGCAACAAGCTTGACATATTCAAGAATCTGAAAGAGATGCCTTGTTTAATGAATGCCTTGACCACAGCCTGCACTCAGCAATGCTTATTCAATGAGACCAAATGAAGATTTGGGATGTCAGAATGCTTTCTCAGACTTTTTTAGAAGTTTGTTTTCAATTGAGAGGCCATAATTTAGAATTTCCCTTACTTTCTTCTTCCTCCTCAAGATTTCCAGGCGTGCCACTCAGATGCAGACCATGGTCCTTTATACAATCTATCGAGTCCTACTCTGGAGACATACAAGTGTCTCCCGTTCTCCCTCACATATAAACACACACACTCGACTTCAAATTTCCAACTCTACCTCTTTGAACCCAGCAATATTTTAGCGGGTGATGACTCAGTAGAGCACTCTGTGAGTTCAGCCCTCCTGGATCACGAAAATCTTTGATCATAAGGCATCACAATTCTGTCTCTATACTGGGCTTATGCTTGTCTGGGTTCGAATGATAATTAGCAGAACGATCCTGGGCAAGACAATCTTCTGGGCCTTGATATTATTACCTGGAAAAGTGGGTTTACTACTCACTGCCCTGCCTCGTTCACAGGGCTGTTGTGAGGACTAAATGCAAGAACGGTTGGGGAAAATCTAAAAATAGCCTACATTTATTTTGTTCAGAGACAGATACTGTGCTTAGCATCAGGCCAATCTAATTATCCCCATCTGAGAGAGGAGAAACCTGGCACCAAGAGACAAGTGCTGTGTGCACATTGGCTGTGACCAAACTTCTGTACAGTGGCAGGGCTGCAAAGCGAGTAACCCACACACCTTCAGGCGGAAGGGCGGAGAGGTGAAATGGCTCAGACTCCTTAACCTGGCTCTACTACTAACCGTGTGACTTTGGGCAAGTAGCTCTTTGGGGGCTCAGCTTCCTCATCTGTGTAATGGGGATCACAGAACATGTTCAGAGGGTTGTGGAGAGAACTAAGCGAGATGATATATTTAAAGCGCTGGACAGTGGCGTCTAGGCACAAAATTCATCTAAACTTTTACCATTATTCACTTTTAAAAATAGACTTAAGGGCAGTCCCATGACGTCTGCGGCGCTAGTCTGGAGTCTAGGGGACCCCTGAGTGATACGTGACCTTGGACAAGCCACTCCTTTTCCGGACTTCAGTTTCCCGCCTCAAGATAAATGGATAGATTAATCTACACCCGCCCTTCCAGCTTCGCACGCCTCGGCGCGGGGTTGGGCAGAGACCCTTCCCGGTGGGGAAACTCCCACCGCCCCATAGGGTGGGGTAGGGGCGGGGCGGGGGGTGGGGCCTGGCGAGTTCGGGTCCCCACCTGCCGCCTCTCACCTCCAGGCTGTAGTTGCCCCGGATGGCGGTGAAGTCGTCCAGGGCTTCGGCCGCGCTCCCCTCGTCCAGGTTCAGCTCCTGGCACAGGGCCTGCAGCGCCTCCCCGGCCGCGGCGACCACCGCCGCCCCCTCGGCGTGGGGGTCGTCCTCATCCATCCCCAGGCCCGGCGGGCGGCGCGACCACAGCCCCCCGATTCCTTTCTCCCTCCTGGCTGCGCTACCCACAACCACCCGCGCCCAAAGCGCGCGAAAATCGGGGGTTGCAGTACGACTTCTCTTCCATGGTCTGCATCCGCGTTTCTCCTCAAAAAAAGTCCGCTTCTCCTCCGGGGCTCCCAGCCGTCCCTCTCCGGAAATGTGATAAGAAGACGGACCTCGGGGCCTAAGAAAGGCCTGGCTTGGCCCTTGACGGGTAGCGGTGGACACAGCCGACGGGGCAAATTGGGAGCGGAGGGATCGGCAGCCAGCGCGCAGGGTCTGCTGGGAATTGTAGTCCATATCCTGCCTTGGAAGCGGCGGCCCCTCCGTTTCTTGGTGACTCTTTGGTTTGGGCCGAGCTGGGCTGCATGCTGCGAGGTGGCATCATTCATCTTAGGGAGAAGCCTCCTCTGCCCCTCCAACCCACGGGCCTGGGTTTGTCACTGCCCTAGGGCGCCAAAGTCTGATCAAGACTTGCTCCTTGAGTTAGGAGACCGAGTGGGGAGGGGGTGGAGGAGGGGGGCCCGTCGGACTTCCCTCAGCGTCTCCAGCGTGTAATGAGTGGTCTGTTGAGTGACGAAGGGAACACCTATCCACCTCTCCTTTATCTCTAAACGAGGTTTGACTTAGGCTGAAAGAACTTTAGGAGGGTGGCCCTGTCTCAGCTTCCCGGACCCTGGGAAATATGACCCTGGAACCCAGTTAAGATAGTCATTCCAAACTTGGGAATGGCCTGAGCATCATCTGAAGGTATAGAACTGGTGTGGAAGCGTACCCTTCTGCTACCAAAACCCCTTCTCATAGGAAGAGCTAGAGTGATCCTTTTTAAAAGGTAAATCAGAGTTTGTCAAGAATCCTTCAGTAGACTCCTTTTGCCCTTAACATACTATCCAAACTTCTTTCCGTGGCCTGTAAAGCCCCATGTTATCTGGCCTCACCTCATCTAAGGCACTGTCCCCCTCCTCAGGAGTATAAGAAGATCCATCCTCACTGCTGTGTTTTGGAACGTTGGAAACACCAAGCTGCCAAACTAGTTCTTGACTCAGGGCCTTTCGCACATGCTGATCAAACAGCCACAGATACTCTATGCCAGGTCTTTGCTTGTCTGGGTGTTCCTTGTCATTCAACTTTTTAGTTTTAGTCTCCTTGTCAGGCCATCCCTGAGCACTGTATTTAAAATACTTGACCCCCATTCTCCCCACCACCTCATTTCGTTATCTTCATAGCACCTTACCACTATCTGAAATTTTGTGTATTCATTGGCTCTTTCTACTAAAATGTGAGTTGATAAGAGCAGGGGCCTTCCTTTCATGTTC